GAGCAGCCACTGCACTCCAGTCTGGGCGACAGAGTGAGACTCCAACTCAAAAAAAACAAACAAACAAACAAAAAAAAACAAAACATCTGTCAGAAGTTTTAAGGCAGATCCTTTCTGCCTGTGATAGTTTGGAGACGGTTCAACATGAAGTTTAAGGGTACCCTTTAGAAGGAAAATGGTGTGGCAGAAGAAAAGACAGAGCTCAAATTTTAAGGTGGGTGTGAATCACCTGGGGTGCCTGTTGGTATACAGATTCAGATTCAGTAGATTTTGAGTGGGGTTTGAGGGGCTGCATTTCTAAGAAGCTCCTAAGAGACGCTGATGCTGTGGTCCATAGACCACAGCTTGAGCAGCCAGGTTCCAGGCAACCAGCCTGACTGAAGAGTACGATGGACAGGCAAGAGTTGGGAGGCCTGGAGCCAGCTAGGAGGCTTCTCCGGTCATGCAGTGATGAGACAATAAAGGCCTGAACCACAGCTGTGTCAGAAAGAATGGAAAAAGGAGACAGCCAAGGGAAATACAAACTCTTTAGATCAAATAGCCATACAAATAAACTAAACATATCCAAAATCTCAAACCTTTATCGTCTGTATGTAGCATCCAGACGCGGAACCAAAAGGGTATAAATTGCAATCAGTAAAGTATCATACACTTTTGGAAAATCATATGACCACTTTTATGTGATAGACCGCAGAAGCTGAGACCCAGAAAAAAAGGATGTGATATTCTAGTGCAACACAACAATGGTATCTCAGTCTAAATCTTCCAGCTCTGTGGTGCCAAGTCCATTTCCTGATGCCCACTCTATGAACAAGTCAAAGGCTCTCACACCAGGAGGAATGGCCCTGCAGGGAATCTAAGAGTCTGGATAGGTTGCCCATTAATGTCCTATCCTTATAGAGCAGGGTTTAAAATGAATCATCCAAAGGATGATCTGTGTGCAATTAAAAGAGGAAGTGATAAGTTGTGTCAGAGGAATCCCACTTCCTTCTTTTGGGAAAGAACTTCCAGACTGATAGATCAGAGGTCTACCACCAACACCAAATATCTGATGTCAGGGGGGAAAAAAAAAAAAGAGAGGGGGGACAAACTCTCCCAATAGTCTTCTGGATACAGTAAAGACAAGTTGAGCTGAATGTTAATACCATTCAATGGATTTATAAGTGACCAGAATATCAGCAGTTATCTGGTAAGGGCAGCAGCCCCTGTACCAAATCCTAGCCTTAGCGTTAAGACCTGGATGAAAATGCTGATGTACTCAGCTACATTCAAAGAACAAACAGGGAATTCAGCAGCGACTAGAATGGACAGAAACTGCTACCCTAATAGGGTTTACCTTCTAAAGGGGCAAAAGATAATAAAATAATTAAGTAAAATACATTGTATACTAGATGAGCATATGTATAAAGAATAGACCAAACCCCCCCAAAAAACAAAAAAGTAGAGAAAGAGTACAGGAAGCACATCGGACCAGTGAGTCCATTTTAAACGGAGTAGCTGAGTCCATTTTAAACTGAAGCTGTGATGCTTCCCAAGTAGCTCTGTGAATACACATAGATTCCTTCTTTGCTTGGATCTGGACTACTGTCCCATGCTCCTTTTTGCCATTCCAACTATAAACTATCTTCTTCTAAACCAGGCTCGGTGGCTCAGCCTGTAATCCTGCGCTTTGGGAGGCTGAGGTGAGTGGATTGCCTGAGCCCGCGGGTTCGAGACCTGCCCGGGCAACTTGGTGAGACCTCATCTCTACAATAAGTCAAAAAAAAAAAAAAATTAGCCGGGCGTGGTAGCGTGTGCCTGTAGTTCCAGCTACTTGGA